GGACATCGCTGTATCAGTAAGTTATTATAGCTGGCATCACTATGGAGAAAACCTATATAGCGGACATCGCTGTATCAGTAAGTTATTATAGCAGGCATCACTATGGAGAAAACCTATATAGCAGACATCGTTATGGCAGGAATGTATAGCAGACATTATTATAGCATCAAGACATACACAACATCATAAATAAACTAGTCTGAAGAGTCAAGACAAGAAGGTACCACAGACTCATTGTCAAGCATGTTTATTACTTGATAGTTTTTTCATCCTTACTTAACATTTTCACTCCTTTTGTGTTACAGGACTATATTTATATATACACACCACTGATTCATCAAACAGTCTGGGTTTTTTTTTCCATAGTTGTCCAGAAAAAAACATGTACAATTTCCTGAATTTTAGGACTAACAGACAAATTAATCAGCATAAATAGCGTACCAATTTACAATGTAGATACAGATGTGATGCAAGTAATTATAACTAGCATACACTAATCTACAATTTCCTAATGTGGAAATTAACTCCCTGACAGAACTATAAACCATCCTCAGGCAAAACAATTGCAAAGACGTAAGCACCAGCTGTTGTAACGTACGTTTCCAGGAAATACTGAAATTGTTAATGCCAGGTCTATTTAGTATATATACTATAAATTGCTACCGGTACTGTTTATGTTCAGACCTCTGTCTATTGGCAATATTGACATTATACCAGTGATCATAAAATTACAACACACCCAGGGGTCCTATATATACCCCACATGTACCATTCAATAGAGTCAGTCGTGGTGTTTGCTGTCGGCCTAGCTATTTACATTGTGTGTATTCCAATAAGACATCCCTACATTCCAATACCTTACACTTACATACACAAATATATTTCAGGTAACATTGAATATCACAAAAGTATAAATGCTATTTACCATCAAAGCTTACATTAGTACAATGCAGGGGATTACTTGTATAACCCAATGAGAGACGATTTTACAGCAAATAGGTTTATTTCACTACAGACATTCCTTTATGCATTTCAAGATATATTTGTATACATCAATTTTTCGCTACTAGATTTGGATCTATAATTATTTCTGACATTGGAATGCGTGCTTAGTATTTTTATTCAATGTAACCTTTGCCTGTGATTTTACATACAAGTGTAATCCTACTAGCTTTACATAGGTCATACCCCAGACCAACCCATATCTGCCTGCACATGCCATATCAATCCAGCATACACCATACAGTATATACAGTATATATCTACCCACTAAATGCCATATCTGCCTGTCATGTGCCGTATCTGTTTTACTTCTGAGATTCAACAAATTTTAAAATTAGGCCTAAATTACTATTAATGTTTTTGACATTGTACTTCAATGTTTGAAACAAGAAGTATATGATGACAAAGTTAAAAAAAAAAAAAAAAAAAAGACATTTCCTTATCTTACCACGCCCGTATAAACCCTCAAACTGTATCAGCAGCCCTTGGGCCTCTGGCCCCTCGGGATCAGCTGATATGGAGGTCTAGTGGTGTCAATATGTATAGGATATACATAAATAGTCAAACATGTATGATAACTTCTAAATATCTTGTTAAATGTAGCAAAATATTACTTACCGTAGTAAAATAAATTTAAGGTGTAATAAATCCATTATCCATCTTATAATTATTTATATACACACAGTAAAGCCATGCACTTAAACACACTGGTTTTCATGTTCAGTTTACAGTCTCTCCTCTAGAACTTCTGTAGATGTAAGTGGAGTCGTATCCTATTCACTTCAACCCCATTAGGTCGATCTAAGCGATCTAAGCGTTTAATTGATATGTCGTAAATTTAGCACCAGTCCTACAGAAATGACAAATTCCTGATCAATTAACGTTAGATTACATCCACGTCAGGTGACGAAGCATGTATCACGATCTTGTCTCGGTTACAAGGAGGTCGGACGTCCTCTCGCCCGTACTGAACGACGAATTCCTGACGAATCAATCACATTACTCCTATTTAAATTCTTTTCTTTGTATATTCCCCCCATTTAATCTCGATCCACAGGTAAGCTTGGCCACCATAACGTCAAATCACGAAAACTATCACAATATCTATAGAATAAGTATGAATGTACGAAAGGGCTCAATTCTGTCGTTATTTATAAACACTTCTTTTAACTTTTCTAGCGTTGAATAGAAGCATGCAGTGCAACAAAAACACAGGTACAATAGGTCACATGTCGAGGGGGAAATTTCTGTAAGTCATTTTGTTAGTACGTTTATATGTTTAGGACAACAAACTTGTTTCGTTCTTAGCGTGAAATCACTTAAACTAACCCGGTGTGAAGCGTATTGTGGGTGTAATTTTCACCTGCGGTCGTGGATCTAAGGTATTTATAGATAATATACCTCGACCAGATCCAACAATGGCCAGAGATAATCGCTTGTCTACACTTACAGGTCTGCTGTACAGCACACCATGTAAACACATTCAATATAGAGATTCCTGTAGTGAGTGTCTTTTATACAAAACCAATTACAACCTTAATAATCATACTTGCCAACTTTTTTTAAATTTCCATGGGGGAGATTCTGCATGCTCAAAATTAAAACATGAATAAAATGTGTGTTATATTATATGTATACCCCCTAGAGACAAAATAACCCTTTAAAATGACTTATTTTGAGTTGTTCTTTCAGACAAAATCAATAGATCTTACAATTGTATAGAGTTAAGCAAACTCACAGGTTTAAAATACTAAAATTAGGGGTCCAAAATCGTCCAAAATCGGAAGTCTCCCTCCTAAAAATAGGGAGAGTTGGAAAGTATGAATAATATTTATCAATTCAAGCTGTATTTACATAACTACCTAAACCTTATAATTATTTGTAAAGTAGTTTGTGAAGTATTCATAGCTATTCACATGCCTCAGAAAGTGATTTTTAAAGTAAATTTGGGGCCTTTTTATCCCCAAGATAATTTCTGCTGTATATGTAGATATTTTCCTAAAATCAATGCAAAAATTGATTTAATTTCCCAAAATCATGCTTTTTCCCAAAAATATTTCCCCAAAGGCACAAGGCACGTACGGGCCCCTATCAAAAACAAATCACTGCCCTATGCACCTCTGCCTTGATTGTTCCCTCTAGGCCTGGTGACGATAGTGATCAAGGCAACCACTGACAAATAATTATAAGATATCATAATTACAGCATGTCTGCAAGTACCGAAAATTGATATTTTCATAATCGTTATATTGATTATAGGGCTTTAAAGCTGTCAGATAGAATTACAGTCAATGATAAACACCCTACACCGAAAGCGACAAAAAGGGACAAGTGTCTGACCTGCCATGGGATTAAGTGAACCAGCTTTTGACTATTTTGTGCAATGCACATGTTTTACACCCCAATGTTGCATCAATGATGTCACATGTAGTCACCAAAAATATGGCACATGACAATTTCATGTAATTACAGCACTAAAACATGTAATATAATGTCATTTGGTTGGTAGACCTAAACCTAGACTAGACAGGGCCATATAGGCGACAGATCAGGCCAAATAAAATGATATGTGTGTTTCCTTTTCCATTAGATTTTGATTGTAGGTAGGTAGTCAAACGATTCCCCCCCCCCCCCCCAAATATTGTGAGTCATCATTACCAGCAATATAAAATATTTATGCACTTCAATGATTCTGAATGAGTAGATTTTACTAAATGAATTAATTAAATCCAATTTCTTAATTTGGGCTATGAAATAATTCAAGTAGGGAAGATTTTTCCCTATTAGGTAGGGGAACAGGAAACATATATTTTGTTTTGGCCTCACAAAGTTAAGTCCATATATGTAATATAGAGACAGTGTTATATCCCACAGTGCAGCACATGCATGCATATACATACACTTAACTGATTTACCCCTACATGTCTTAACTGGACTTGTCCAGCCTTTGATTTGGTAAGGTTCAAATGTGAATTTAGGGGTGAATGGGTTAAATCCCTGTCTGACTGCAGTGCTCAGGCAAAACAATAGAGAACTCCATGGTAGTTTTTTACGTACATACAGCAACCTTCCTTTAATTTCATTTTAGACATATTAACAGGTTGGGCACAACCCTGCATATGGGGAATAATCCTGCATTTAGGTAACAGTTACCTATTTAAAGTAACAATTTCATGAAATCTAAGTTAGTTTTAAATCAGTCAATTTGTGTGCACAATTAATTGTAACTCATTTTAAAATTTATAGGGTTTTGCTGAAAGAAAGATGCCCTTTTTTGTTCCTAACATTTAAAAGATCTTTACATGTTGTTATTTCACTTGATTCCCCATTTCAGTAATACATTTTTCACTGTAAATGGGTAACGCTGTTACCCAAATGCAGGATCAGTAATATTTACCAATGTGCACCGTTGTGCCCAACCTGACTAACTGTAGTCATGTTGGGCCTGCAGGGAACTATACATACAGGCTGCTCTGGTAAATTAGTTGGTATAAAATGTAGAGGAAGCTTTATAGTGATCAGTGGTCTAAGGGCTGTATCCGTCTGGCCCGGTTGCATTTTTATTCTCAGAAAAAAATTCTGTTTTTTTTTATTCCACCTTTGTTATTTTTGTTTCATAAAATCTCCTGCAAGGTATATTTATTTTCTTTACAGAACTAATCAATTTTTTAAGATATTGAATTGTCATGCAGGTAAAAAAAAGTGTCTGATTCATAGTGAGTCTTTGGCGAATTTGGTATATATGGGGATTGTTGAACAAGCTTGTATATCATTCATGCTAACTCCAGCTTGTCTGTCCTAACCAAACTTTTTCTTTCCAAACCTAAAGGATGTTACTTAAATTTGTACAATAACAGGCTCTGGTGGAAGTGAATGGTGACAATTTATATACAGTAAAGGTAATTATTACTGAGTTACATATATGTAGGTTAAAGGAGAAATGCACTACTGTATGATGTCATGCTCTGTTTCACATTTAAAGAAGAAACCAGTCTTTAACTCTTTATCTGATCAGCGTTCTATATTTACATTATATATATATAGACAACAGTTTCAAGCTTAAATTTTGTTTTCTTCAAATCAATATCTCTTAGACAAATATTTAACTTCAAAATGCTCAATGTCATGATCAATTCATAACTACATTCAAAGTAAAAATTATGACAAAATAAGTATTTAAATAAATACATACATTAAGTATGCATAGACAGTATTTATATATATATCATATAAACTCTTTGAACTCTTTAGACCATGTTTTTTTTTAAATATATGTCTTATAGATCCAAGTTGATTCTTTGTTATCGTAAGCGATACAGCTTATTGACATTACAATACATGCATTATGCACAATACAATGTCACACAAAGTCTAGTTCAAGTCATACATTTATATATAATTCACTCATTTCAAAGACAAGAGGTGTGACTTAATTTCAAAAGCTTTACACAAAAATATCCCGAAGATATACAATTCTGTAATATTTTCTGTACTTTACAATTTCAATAGTTCATACATGGATGGTTTGGAGATAATAAGATTTTAACAGTTTATATATTTCTTTTGCTCTAAAGAAAATTATAATTCAGTCCCAGTATTAGAAACATGATATATTTCAGTCCTGGTTTATAAGGGAAACTTGATATAATGTCAGTACCAGTCCAGTATTAGAAACATGATATATTTCAGTCCCAGTTTATAAGGGAAACATGATATATTTTAGTCCCAGTAAGAGAAACATGATACAATTGTCTTACCTTGATAATTTGGTATAAAAATCTCGATTGTAAATCCAGAATATGAATTCAAGCAATATAACTTTTCTTCACAACTCTATACAGCAAGGTTAACCCTGCACACATATATATTAGTTCTATAATGTACATACACTAGACATATTATGAAGTCTATATGGTAAGCATACCCTCAGAGGATATCTCCCACATTGTGTAATAGGTAATAATTGACCGACTGAAGTTTTCCCACACACATTATCATTAACATGTAAGTGTAAAAACACTGTGGACTTGTCCAGAACCTGTGGTCAGTCCGGTGGTCACTCAGGTGGTCACTCAGTGCCCCTATTGTCCGTGACATTTCGTCCAGCCCACATGTGTAGCCTGAAGACATCTGTGTCAGATGGCTAATTTATCAACAAGTAAATCGTTGGTCAATCAACCTTCCACGATATTTACATCCAACACCTGTTTACAAACAGGTAAGTCCTTAATGGATAATACACAGGTAGATACACACAGGTAAATCTTCAAAGCATCCCTTCCTCACCCTACACAGGAACCCATCTAGTCAACAACATGTACCTGTATACCAAAATCCCATATATCTTTGGTCAGACTACATTTTACCTGCAGAGAGAATAAATGGGCTTAAGGGCAAAAAGGCTGTTGTTGTGGGTTTTTTTTTATTCCATGAGAAGAATTAAAAGTTGCAATTATAATGAAATTCCAGAAAATGAGAGACTGAATTCTGCTGAAAACTAATAATTTTTTGTGTTTTGCATATTTTGATACTCGCAATTGGTGAAATTTCAAGCAATTCATATATATGTTCTCCAACAGACTTTCTAAATAAGGATCTTGCACTGCGGAATGTACACACTTTTGATTATTCTTCAATTTGTCAAGAGTCTTGCCATAAAATTTAGCTAGAATACATAACAACTGTCTCATTCCTGATTAAATATAAACTTTATTTATTTTACAACAATTATGAAACAAGTTTTTAGAACTTATACTAATAACTCTAGTTAGCCCGGATGTTAGCGTGTAGGGGGTCTTACTGTGGTAGGAAACCAGATTACCCAGAGAAAACCCACTTGCTCTGGTAGGTGACCCCATACACTTTCACGTCCAATCACGGAATCGAACCCTGGCCGCCTTGATGAAAGGCAAGTGCGCTATCCACTGCGCCACCAGACCACCCTCATTCCTGATTGGATACCCTCCTAATGATTAAACATCGACAGTAGTAGCGATCTCCTACTTCCTAACGAAGTTTATAGCTAGTGTAAACATACACCTACATGTACAGGAACATACGTA